AGTGAAATTTTCTATGGTAAAAATCTCTTGCGGAAGATTTATTTGTCGTAATAAAGACACTTCCTTACCTTTCTGGGTCCCACATTAAGGACGCAACAATAAAAAATGTGCCGGAAATTTGCATTTTCCATTCTAAAAAAATTAATGCAATTATTACATCAACGCAGTAACATCTTTCTCTACTTCATTCCTGTCCTATGACATAGCTGGAAACTCTTTATTTTTATTTCCAATTGATAATTTCCAACTTTRTACAAGTCTAGACCGATGAAAAATCCTTTCCGAGATTGGCAAACCCGCACTCAAAACTTTTAACCGGTTTCGCCATTCCGAAATCAGAGTGAAATATTGAAATAAGATAATAGAGTGTCGCATATACTTTTAACACACGTAAAATAGAAAGTTACGGCCGTATTAGGCCCGACTTGTTATTACAGATAAGCACCACGAGTATGTTAATAAAATTGTTTGCTTGTGCAAATTTTTCGATTTATTTAACTGTCTCTGATCCAGTTGTGACAATATCAACAAAGTCCTGTGATGCTCACCTGCAGTCGCATTGAGGTCACTACTTAGACTCGSATTGGAAACTGGTATAACATTTAGTAGGTTACAGAAATACCACTCTCTACCGCAGCAGTTTTCAAGCAGCTACTTTATATCGCCAGTCTAATGCAGTGAATTGTGGCTGTTGCATGTCACTTTGCATCCAAAACACAAACCCACGTGTTAGTGCTTTTCGGATACTCATTTCGAGACCACTCAAGGTAAAAAATTGGATTGCTTRAAGTTCGATGCACTCTTGCACCACTSGCATTACAAAATAATCACACACCAAATACACTTATGAACCAATTTGTTTTCTTTAATTATTATTCGATTTTTTTTTCAAATAATTGGTTTAAATATGTAGGTGTCGCAGACTATAACTTTGATTTTTGTTGCTCAATTTTGATAAGTTTTATGTCAAAATATTATTAGGATTTAAAGTTAAAAAAATTGACAAAAATACGTTGTTTTCTTCAAACAGATTTGTAGTTTTTGTTTACGTAAAATTTGCTAATAAATAATTTGTGCACTTTGTAAAATAATAGTATATTTTAGAGGCCGATTGTTCTATTTGGGGGATGCCCCTATCGAGGCAAASTATGTCGTTAAGCTCATAAGCGAGTAATTCCTGAAAAGGCTTCGGGTCAATTGCAGCAAACACCAAATACCTCTATGAATTTCCTGCAATAACCGTTGTGCACATGTCTTATTATTACCAAATAATTACGTAATATTGGTGCACCGTATCATACCGGTATTTTTGTTATATAAAATAAACCYTTCTGTATACAGGGTGTTGGTTAATTGATTTAGAATCGTGTGCTAACTAGAAAGTGATGATTTCTCGATTTTTTACGTGCTTTGTTAAACAATAACAGAGTTATACAATAGATTTCAACATTCGGGGGTTTGCCTTGACACTGGTGACTGTTCCACGAGGATGCACCAATAAAAAAAATCCCATTTCCTGGATGTCCGAGTGAAAGTTATTATTTGCAATTTCTCCAAGAATTATGGATTTTAATTATACTAATAGGCGATTAATAATACAAGTGGTGAGGACGTTAAAGGAAGCGTGTAATGGGTCATTATTTATTTATTGGTAAGGGTTATCGACCAATTTGGATTATGTAAAAGTTGGAGCAGGGTTTAATTAAAATTACATTTATCAAAAAATGAGTTTTTAAAGATTCTTATAAAAATCGAGTTACGTAATTATTAAGTCATGTTTGGAGTTTAAAGGTTAATCTTCGTTTGAGGTCAATTTCTTCAACGGTATTTACGTGTATTAATAATTTTTGTAATAATTTACGGTTATGAAATCTTTTGATTTAATTGTAAGAAGACTAGTTCTTTATAATATAATAAACTGTAAACTTTCTAATACATTGACGTGGGTCAATCAAACTTGATATTTACAGTGTATTGCGGTTTTAAAATTAATTTCATATAGTGGTTTTTATATAATTTATTTTCATATTGTAAATATGAATAAACCATGAAACTACCGTGTTTTTCTTTTATTTTAAATGAAATTTACAATTCTCAACCATTTTTGAAGCTGTTCAAATTAAATCATCATTTATAGTTGGTGTGTTTTAATTTATATTTCATGTTTGTTAAAAAAGCAATAACATAATTACATTTCTAGCATGAGAATTGGAGTTTTTATTATATTTACATACCAGAAAAAGAGTAAAATGTATTTAAAAACGGGATGAAAGCTAGAACCAAATTATTTCGTGATATGGGTAATAAAAAATAAAAATCTAAATGTACATGCAAGCTAGGTGTTTTATATTGAACGAAAATTGAAAATGTGGCTGTGAATTTGTTATTTTATTTTATATTTAAATTACTGTATGAAGGAAACATTTTTATGGTTATTTCTTCCTGCCAACCTCTCATTAAGTCCAGACTTTACAGTTCTAATCTTGTCACTAACTACGTAAAGTATTGTTTGACAAGTGAATTCATTTACGGTAGACTGAATTATGAAATTATTTTGACCGTACGAACGGTACTACATAATAAATTACATTTTGCATTTATTACTGAATGGACAGTTAGCTCGAATTTGTGCAATCCACTGCAAATTTTCCCATCACACACGTGTAATAATTCCTCACACAATAGAATGATGTGCGAAATTTACCACCTCTACTATAATTTATATAAATAAATAAATCCCTTTACATTGCAAGCTCCCAAGTTCCCATCTAACACCACATAATAAACGATGTTGTCTTAATGGAATTTTAATCGGGGCAATATTAAATGATAGGTTTCGGTTAGCACAATTAATACTACTATGAGTTTCACTTACTGCGCTAGACAACTAATTAAAATAATAATATTATGACAACATGACAATTGTTGACTGCAAGAATTCATMATACACCTGAAATAAAACGTAAATTAACAGTCTATGAGCGTTTCTTCATGTCTTGCTTATTACAGAACCATTCCTGGTAATCACTAGTGACTATTGCACGAACGAGAAAACCGAAAACGATTACAGACTTTCAGGTGCTTCTGAGGGCAATTTCATACCTCATGGACATTCTCCGCTAAATTAATAAGTTGCCAACTTCACTAATGGCGATTTAAACGTAWTTTCATTGATGATCAAGTTCATTTTTAAGTAGTTTACCGCAACAATTACGATTTATAGGTCACATAATGATATTCACAAGTAACTGATTAGACACTCATTACCGCAACTTCATAATTAAATCATTTTTACTCAAAATTTGGGGCCTTTATGCTAAACAAAGTTCATTTGAATTGTGAATGTAAAGAGATTGTGCTACACTTAATTATAATTTTAAATTGATATCACCTACGAAAGTAGTAAGTAATAATAACCTAATTTTATTAATTAAGGAAACTAATATCGAAAAAAGGTTGAGATTTTTTGTGAGAAGTCTACTTGCAAAGACGTGTGTTTAATTAAAACGACACTGGAGTTGAGTTTTTACCAAGTTTATAAAATTAGCACAATCTAAGTTTAACTAACTCGAGGAAACAAAATTGCAGAGTAACTAAATTAGGATTAGCCGCTTCTCGCATGAGCGATTRCTTGATATTTATGAAATGATCTCATACTGTTTTTGAAAGGTTGTAAAAATTATAATTGTCGGCATTTATTATTATCCTTGCAACGGCTTTAAGCAGTTAAATCATGTTAACAGTTATTACTGCAAATAATGGGATGTCTATCTTTTATTTACCTTTGAGAAAGTAAAAGTCATAAATAAGTATATACATCAAACACAGGGTGAAACACAACTGTTATCTACTTTATTTAGTTTTTCCCTTTTTCAGAAAATATTTTCAGCAATGTTACCTATGTACTCGTAAATCTTATCCAATCAAAATTGAATACAATTATTGTATTTTGTTTGCAGTTTAATATTATTTTTAAATAAAACTTGCATAATAAAAAAAATTAAAAAAATAGTGATGTTGTAGTGTTTGAGGTGTATTTAATTTTGGGAAAATTTATATCCTTTAGRTAGGTTGAACACTCTTTCATAGTTTTAAAGATGAAATACAGTGAAACCTCGTTACGTCAAAAAAATATTTGAGTTATCGAGGTTTTGAGATGTTTTTTTTTATACAGGGTGTTCGGTCCAAGTCGCCCCGACTGATAACTCCTAAACTTAGTTCTTTTTTTCAAAAAGTAAATATTTGAGTAATAATATTCATTCTTGGCTTTCTTAATAAATGTATCAAATTTTTTTAGCACATCCGGTGTTGCCGGAAATGCTACCAAATTTAGTTTTTCAAATGGAACACCTATGTTTTTTTTCCTCCAAACAATAATAATTGACATGAAAGATACGGTAAACCACTATTTATTACATTTTGCGTAATACAATGCAATCAGAAAACATCTTAAATCTTAGAATTTTACAAGGAAATTGGTCGCGTAGCCGATTTTTAATTTTAAAAGAAAGGTGTGAATAAAAAATGCTTGGATACAGTTTAATCGTTGGTTTGACAAATCTAATTTCTCAGTTATGATGAGCGAGTTCTCTTAAGGAAACTCTTAAATTTTCTTCGACTGATAACAGAATGTCCAGATTTCTATTTTCTTGTTCTTCACTAAGAACCGCGGTTTTTTTAGTTTTAAGAAGCGAACCTGTTCGTCTCAGTTGTTTTTCAATTCGACTAAATTTCCAACGATTTGTGTGAACTCTATTTGGGTATTTTTCTCTATACTGTCTTTCAGCTTGCGCTCTCTTTTATTGCACTCAAAAAAACACTTCAAGCTGATCTACCAATTCGTCGTAATTAATATCATCCATTATTAAAGGTCTCAATAAGATTTATTGACAAATTAGGCTTTGTCAAACTAACAATTAAACGGTATCCAAGCATATTGCTTTTTGCATGAATACCTTGACAAGTAAAATCCGCCTACGTTGCAAAATTTGCAATGAAATTCAAAAATTTTAATTGTTTTCTGAGTGCATTATGTAAAGTAAAATGTAATTAAATAGTGGTTTACCGTATTTTTCATCCCAATTATTATTGTTTCGAGCAAAAAAAACATAGGTGTTCCATTTAAGAAACTAAATTTGGTGGCATTTCCGACTACACCGGATGTGCTAAAAAAATTTGATGCATTTTCTAAGAAAGCCAGGAATGAATAATATTATTTGAAAATTTAGTTTTTGAAAAAAAAAGTAAGTTTAGGTGTTATCGGCCGGGGCGACTTGGACCGAACAGCCTGTATATTGTTTTATAAATTTTAAAATGTATACAAAAATTAACTTCTTATGGCATAAAATACAGGATGCGCCATAACTCGCGCCCTAAAGAAAAATGTAAGGTGAAGATACTAGGAACATGGAAAAAATGTTAGGAGTGAAAAAATTATTATGTTCCGTTTTTATTGTTACAAATTTAAACAGGTGATAGAATATTCAGTTTTAGGACAAGTTTCCTATAAAGCGAGCTGCACCCCGCTAAAAGAGATACGTTTTTTTTATTGGGTTTTCCCACTATTGCAAAACTCGCGCCCCAGGGAAAAATTTCAAGTAAGATAAGATACCATTGAGTAAACGTTTAAATGTTTTTGATAATTATTTAGTAAATGTACAAAAATTTAGTCAATAAAAGCCACAAATAACATTAAGCAGAGTTACAATTTAGGATACAGATTCCTTGTTTACTCTTTTAACAGGCTGTAGCAAAACAACTTGAAAAATTATTTTTCCAACATAAATAAATAGCGTCAAAGTGCAAAATTTAAACTCTCATAAATTCGAAATTTTTATAGATTTATATGCCAAAATATTCAGTCATTGTGGATCACTTTGTATTTTACCTTTCGCTGGGGCACGAGTTCTGGCGCACCCTATATTTTGATCGTCAATGTCACCAAAAAAATTATTCTTTTACATCAGTGATTTTGCAATTTACCCTTTGTGATTGATTTATCTGTCTAAAAAATTCAAAAATAGTTTAAATGTCGAGTGACTTTCTATTATTACTGAAATTATGGCACGAATTTCAAGTTATAAACACGACGAAAATACAGGCTGTTCCGTCTAAACCCCACTTTAGAAGTATTGGGAGTTGGAATAATTGTATTTATTTGAAAATTGGTACATAGCCATAAACCATTAAGTCCTCCTAAATGAAAATATTTTCAAGATGGCTGCACTTCCGCTTATACCGGAAGTCGGTCTCAACATTCTTATTTTAAATGGAAAGGTATATTTTTTACTGCGTTTTTGGATTAATCGGGTTATTTTAAGGGAGTTTTTATCAGCTTTCCCTATACCTAAATTTAGCCGTTTTTGAAATATTTGGAGTTTTTCAAAAATTTTTGGATTGGCACCTTCCACTTTAAAAACCGGTAACTCTGCCATTTTTTAAGATTTTAAATTCGTTTTTTAGCGTTTGAAAGAGAAAGCTTAGATACTTTTTCTGGTGTTTTCAAATTTTGAAAAAAAAATAGCATATCTCAAAATTTTAAGATTACTTTTGTAATAATTCAAATACTCATAACTTAATTTTTTCAAATGAAATACCCCAATTTTTATTTTACTAAATAGAAGATAATTTAATTGTGCATTGATCTGTATTAACATTCCCTATACCTAAATTTAATAATTTTCAAGTTATGGACTTTTTTTTAATACTACAGAAAATTTATTACTAGCCATACCCGTTTTTACATAGTTTGCTATGGAAATCAAAAATGTCAAAATTGTTTCTCAGTAAACGTCGACAGTGACTTATTATTTGCCAAATAGTGCCAAAATATGGAGAATCAAAGTTATGCAAACTTAATTATTATTGATAGGTTCCACCATGCAATCATTATTTAAAGCTATCAAGTGCGAAAAGTTTATTTTTGTTTAATGAACGATATCATAATTTTGTTACACTCTCCATAAATACAAAATAAATTAATTAAATCTAAGTTTGAGTAGCTTTGACTCTCCATATTTTGGCACTATTTGTCAAATAATAAGTCACTGTCGACATTTATTGAGAAACAATTTTGACATTTTTTATTTCCATAGCAAACTATACGAAAACGAATGTGGCTAATAACAGATTTTCGGCAGTCTCAACAAAAAGTCACCATAACTTAAAAATTATTAAATTTAGGTATAGGGAATGTTAATACAGATCGATGCAGAAGTAAATTCTCCTCCATTTAGTAAAATAAAAATTGGGTTCATTTGAAAAAATTGAGTTATGGGTATTTGAATTATTACAAAAGTAACCTTAAAATTTTACGTTTTGTTAATTTTTTTTCAAAATTTGAAAACACCGAAAGAAAGATCTAAACTTTCTCTATCAAACGCCAAAAAAACGAATTCAAAAACTCCAAATATTTCAAAAACGGCTAAATTTAGGTATAGGGAAAGCTAATGAAAATTCCCTTAAAATAACCGAATTAATCCAAAAACGTAGTAAAAAATATACCTTTCCATTTAAAATAAGAATGTTGAGACCGACTTCCGGTATAAGCGGAAGTGCAGCCATCTTGAAAATATTTTCATTTAGGAGGACTTAATGGTTTATGGCTATGTACCAATTTTCAAATAATTACGCTTATTGCAACTCCCAATACTTTTAAAGTGGGATTTAGACGGAACACCCTGTATATTTCACGCGACTTTATGTACTACCTATAAGTATCTTGTACATTTATTATTGTTTTGATTTTGTCTTGATTTATCCTTAGGATCAGAAAACATGCAATTAGTTTCGGAAATTTTTATAATTACATATTTTAAATTTCGTTTTATTTGTTAATATTTTTATTATTTATCGTTTGTTTATGCTGAATATATTTGAAAAGCTTTATTGACTGTAAAATTCTCGAGCAACACTTAAACAAGTAAATATTAATTTTAGTTTAAACTTTATAAATGTAGTAATTAGCATCACTTTCAAACGCAATTTAACTAAGTAAACTATAATTAAGCTGAGTTTTATGTAATTCTGAGTAATCTAAATTAAGTTGTTAATTGTTACAAGTTTAAACATAGAAAAAAATATAATTTTACTTGACTAAATTATTATGGTTCTTCGTTTAATAAAATTGAAGTGTTGAAATAAGATTGATCTGATTTATTCATTTCTGTTTATTGAATCGTAACACAATTTGTAAAGTTGAGTGCATATCGAATCAAGAAAGTCGTGCCTAATTTTAACCAGGTGAGAACCATCAAAAGTGCATTGATACACTTTTCTAGGTCAAACGGTTCGCGAAAATTGTTTGAAACTTAAACCTACCATTAGACCAATTTCGTGCATTTCCCTTTCGTTAATAAATCTCCACGACTCCGAATTATTAACGAGAGAGTGAGAAGCAAAAAAAATTTGTCGAGGTATTAACGGAACAAATCAAACAACTACTAATTCGGGTCATAGGTCACGGTAATTCGTAAAGAGGATGATTAGTACAAATTTTTTCTAACACCGGATTTGGGTTCGTGGCCAAAAGTGGGTCATTTGATGACACTAACTCCAGGTCGTTTTCGATGAAACAATTAATTTCAAGTTTAAGAAGTGAAACTCTGAAACGTATTAGTTGTACCACATTTCGTACATTCACTTCGAGGAAGTCATCATGGAATTATATCACAACAATAAAAATTATGTTTTGTTGCAGGAGAATCCATTACCATGAGTTGGCTCATCGAATTTCAGTGCAGTGCTATGTGATGACTATGAGAATTAGTGATTGCTTAAATCTAGACCAATGATTGTGAAAAACTTTTGTGATGAACGATGCCGTCCTACATGTACATTCAGACATGTGTGTGGGTTCTGATCGGATTTTTTTGCGCTGGTAAGTGAAACTAGACCGTTGAATACCACGAGCAAGCGATGAGCTCCCTTGGGGCCGAAAATGCCAGAGAGTGGCACTAAATTTTGCAACACTTGTGGCGCAAGAAAACGAGATTATGAAGTGGAGGAATCACTCTTAAATGGTTGGCCTTGACCAAAATTCATTGCTACAGAAGGTACTTTTGTTAGAAAATATTGCTATCGCAAAGTTAAGTTACCTAGTTGATTTTCTTAAAAAAATTGAACGATATAGTGAAAGCCAAATTGTTCGTACATTAAGATGAAAGGAGTGTCATAAAATCTTAGTAATACATATATCTTATCAATGGAGAAATGCAATTGAGAGTGCTTTTCTTTTACCTAATTTTAAAATAGGTTTTCTGTTTTGTTATAGCCATTTTTTTTCCTAGGAAAATATATTTTTGGCATTTGTTTTTATAAGATGACAAAAATGTTTTAAGTTTTGGTGTTTGATGTCATATTTCTAAGTAATTCATGTCGTAGTAAAACTTTTTCTATTAATAAGAACTTTGTTCTATAGAACGGGACAATTTAAACAAAATTTTACCTTTCTTTGCTACTGCTTTTTTCTTGATGAGCTTAGGCTTTTCTGGGAGGAGAATAAAAAAAAACACTTTGTTGTATTTTTATTTCTCTCTGAAACAAAACTTTGTCTATGAACTCACACTCAATATCTAAAAACAAAAATATTGTTAAATCGTTCATCTACCTGATTACTCGTATTTTATGTATTTGCTTGTTTGAATATGTTAAAATTAATGACTTTATAATTACAGTCCAGTAAGTTGTGATTTTTGACACGTGTTTAATGGACACTGCGTAGTATTTGTAATTAATTGAATTAATAATGTTCAGTGTGATTTTTAAGTCTTTTATTAATGTATTAAAAGTTTAAGCTCCATTTTTAATGTAATTGTATTTACAGCAAAAATTGAAGTAATCACTTTTTTAATCGAGAGAAATAAATTAATATTATACAGCGTGTTAAAAAAAGATTGTAAAACATTTAAGGAGGTAATAATATGAACCAAAATAAGCAGAAAAGTCGTAATAAACATAGGTCCGGAAAGTAACGGTTCGAGGCTATTTACAGGACTAGTGTTAGACTAATATATATTTCCAAATATACCCAAAAAAAGAAATTTAGGGAGTTTGAATCAGGCGATCTTGCAGCCACAGACAACAATAGTCAAATACATGATGTTCGTTTCACAAAACATCAGCCAATTAGGTATGATAAGAAAATGTAATTTTTGCAAAGTAAAAAAGGAGGTAAATAAATATCACATTCCATATCTCCGAAACCGTTACCTTGCGGACCTATGTATATTAAGATTGTTTTGTTTATTTTGGTCTAAACACATTATTAAATCTCATGAGGAGTAATAATATTACTTCTCTTGGGCGGTAATATGCAGGATAGCCAACCTTAAAATTACAAAAAACCGGGAATGTTTTCTTTAAAATTATCAAGTTAAATATAATATTTTGCTGAATTGGTATTCAATTGCTTTTGTAGCAGTTACTCTTACTTCTCGGGGAGTACACTGCTCCATTTTAAATCAGATTCACAGAATTTCAATATTTTCTTTGACATTTATGAAATGTCAAAAATCAAACGCCATTTGGATGGCCTACCACGTTTAGACTTTAACTTTGTTAGAATTTTATTTTACTAAAATTTTTGACTGAAAATAACGTGATTGTGAATAAAATAGCATACAAACCCCGCTGGTAATGGCATTACCCGTTGTGCTTTATCCGATCTCGAGGTTGGCGCGTATATGTCGTAGTCATTGGGCGTAATGCGTCATTCCGCGGAAAGCCTAGTCATTGGCCGTACTGCCGGCAGACGCTGTAATCAAATAAATATTCCTTTGTTTGACTGAAATTTTACGTCATTTCAGGGATTGCCCACTTAATTCTCGTCAAACAAAGTAACCGGTTAAATCATTACATGTTACAGCGTTTGACGGAAGTGTATTTAGTTATTTAGTCATTTGCTGAAAAGTCTTGAAATGTTTGATACTTTTTGTAGAAATATAAATTTTTGGTAGAAGAAAAGACAAGCCAAAAAAACAAATAATTTTTATTGTAGCAAAATATTTGTTTCGTTTATTTGGAATAAGGTACACACATAATATTATAAAATCATACAAATGATATTGCCTACCAGTTTTTTTGTCAATAGTTTGTTTTGCAAGTAAAATATCTTTAGCAGCTTAAAATATGTAAAACTGAAATAAAGGTGTGTGTTGAGGTTAGAAGTCTTTTACCTCCTTCATTTCTTCATAATTCCACGGTTTTTTGGCATCTTTGTTCTTCAAATAATATTCATTTAATTTGTCATAAAACAAACTCTTACGATTATTCATTTTCAATAAGAAAAGTCTAACAATTACTAAATGTTACGGCCCGAAATTACTACACATTAAAATTTCAAGCTTTCAAATGACTAAATACACTTTCGTCAAACGCTGTAACATGTAATGGTTTAACCGGTTACTTTATTTGACGAGAATTAAGTGGGCAATCCCTGAAATGACGTAAAATTTCAGTCAAACAAAGGAATATTCATTTGATTACAGCTTCTGCCGACAGTACGGCCAATGACTAGGCTTTCCGCGAAATGACGCATTACGCCCAATGACTACGACATATACATAAGCACTCAGGATCATGCCATATTTACCATCTCGCTTGTAATGTACTATTTTAACACCCCATAATATTATTAATTGTACATATTTTAATCTAAATAATATCTATAACATAGAGAATGTTCTGCAGTTATAACTTTTGAATAATTGAAAAAAAATATATAATAAAATTCAAAGCTTTTCCAACATGAAAAACAGTTAATATTCGTTGAAGTTATAGTATATTATAATACTAATTTATAACCAAGCCGTCGTAAGTGTTTTAAAGGCGCTTATAAACGAGTGTTATACGCTATTTTTTATTATACTTGCCCATTTACGATCTTTTATGAGCAATGAAAAAATGTGAATTTACACAATAAAATTATCAAAAGTGTTTGTTTGTGAATCGTTTTCGTAGAGACGTTTACTAGTTTACGTTGATAAGCACATTTTTTCACGTTGTAATTGGTCCAGACATTTCACTATTTCTTGTTACCTAGACAATTTTAAAATTTCAGCGTGCTATAAAGGCCAAATTACGCACGCTGCAGCGTGTTTTAATTTAGGATTATGATGCAGGTATAATAAAAAAGTATTTGTAGTCTCCAATTTCAAAAATTGTATTGCAATAGTTTGTTACTACTGTTCGTCGTTTAATAAATTGTTTAGTAAAAAAATACATTCCTGAACTTACATTGATTTCTTTATTGCATTCTGTTTTATTTGTGCATTTGGTGGATTATGTTCTACATTTGAATGATTGAATAACAAAGAAATTTAACAGAAAATAGCAGCGAATCACCTTGTACAACCATTTTACGTGATTGTAAGAGAAATTAAATTGAAAACCAAAACAGTTTTTAATAAATACTTCCAAAGTAGGTACAATATATTTTTTAATGTGATTATGATGGTTTTTTAACACCTTAACAACAGGCAATTATTTTTTTTTTATCTAAGATGTTTTCGTCCAATCACCGCTTTCTTTTCCATGAATAATCGGAAAGTGTTCCTATCTTCTTAATCATTCTTCACTTTGAAATTAAATTCATGAAGCCGGTCCTTGAGAGGGCATAAAAAGATCGTAAATCCGTCACACACGAACAGGTGGCGCACGCCCTCAACTGTATCTTAACATAATTCGTATCTGGGTTGTTTCATACAAATTTCACGGTTGAAAATATTCAATACGGCTTGAGACTTAAATTTATTAATTTTTTATGTTTTCCCAGCATATGAAAACGTTAGGTATATGCTAATATAAATTGATATAGYACTTATGAATGTTTTATAGTTTACTAAAGTTTTTATAGCATGAATTAAAGTAAAAATTTAATTAAGATTTTTATCATTTATTGATTACGACCGAAAATTTTCATCGAGGTCGGAAATTCAATTTTTCACCCTTGATCTCCTTTAAAGCCCCCACTGAATTGAGTCGCGGCTATTGATTGAAATTCGGTTCGGTCTTGAACTTTCTGTTTGTTCAGTTGATATGACACCTGTACTCATCACTTTCTACACTTCAAATTAGGTAAATTTTTGGAGTTGCGCAGGAGCTTGGCCAAAACCGTGTCAAAGTGTCATTAAACCGTTCATGATAATTAGGAATCACCGGAAGAAGCTTCCGCAATGCTATAATCCGGGCAAATATTYCTAAATATTGGACACAGCAATTAGAACGTGCTACTAATAATGTAATTAGCAAATAGAAAGTTTCAGAATTTTTGCTTGTTTGAACCCAAACAGGGATTTACATTTAGTGTGCAGTCTGAACTTTCCAAGACATGATTAATCACTTAAATTAATAACCTTTGGCCATGATTTTTTTTCAGGCGACGAAAATGGAAATAACAAGGAAGCTATTGTGCAAAGTTATCACTGCTAATTGCTTCTATTAGTATATTCGTTTTAAAAGAAAGTAGAAAATTCAGTAAGCAAAGACGCTTATTTGATTTTTTTACTATCTGTGTTTACTCTTCATTAACACGCATCAGCAACGAAGTTTACAATGTAGAACAAAAATCCACACATGGAAGAAATTCATTATACAAACATTGTATTTGCGGGAACGCAAAAGTAATAAACAAAGGAGGATTTGTGCCTTGTGGCTAAATTGTGTTTAATTAAATTAGCTCTGAACTGAAATAAATAAAAGCCAGAAAAAGTTTCTGAATGGTCTTACTTGAAATTCACAAAAATAATGGCGATTCTCTTTTTCTGTTTAATACTTAATTGTGATGATGTATGTATTAAATTAATAAATTGGTGATAAGTGTCCTACAGAAATGTTGGTCACGAGAAAGGAAGAAAATTTTTACCAACAGATGTTTCTTTA